AACAAGTTTAGCCATTTCATCATGTCTCCACATTATAGCTAAGTCTCTAATGAATTCAGCAAAGAACAAATTAGCGTCTCTAATTACACTGAGTTCTACAATATCTAAGTCTGAACAATAACAAATAAATTCAGAACATAAAGAAACATTTGTAGATAAATTATATCCAACATATTTTCCTTGCTCACTAAAACAAAAGTCATGAAAGTTAGGAGCATCAAATGCTTTATAATCCTTTAAATATCCAATAATTGACTTGACTAATAATGAATAAATAACCCAACTATATTTTAATCGTTCTTTACAAATATTCTCATTTTTAGCAAATAATACTGGTAATAATGAAGTAATAACTTGACAATAATATCTCCCATCATCACTTTTATATGAAACAAAATGATTGATGCTATCGAGTATTATTGGACTCTTATATATTCGATACTTTTCTTTTTGGTCTTGAGACATCTCTTTATTATTTTCAATCAAATTGGCTATTTCAAATAACTTAATAAGACTTTCTTGTTTTCCTGAAGTAGCATCTTCTAGACATTTTTGAAGAATAGAAGGAAAGAAATGAAGGATATCCAGTCTACTATCAACAGTAATGATATTATTAATGTTTTCTGTTCCTGATAAATATTTTGAAATTGAAGAATGTTCGGGATAAATAGTAGAGACTAATCGAATATTGACCTTCAAATAAACTTTTGTTACATCATAATTATCAATTACACTTAAATATTTTTTTGTCATTTCTTTCATAATTTGGACGGTGTGTTCTTTATTTTCAATAATTTGTCCATTATCTAATAATGGAAGTTTAGCATAGAAATGTCTTCCCTCTGTTCCATCTTCACAATTTATGTCTTTGATATGAAATAATAAATGGTGTTTATCAGTTAAAGGGAAAGGCAATTGGATCTTAATTTCATCAATAAAATGACCAATCTTGTCTACTGATACAGCAGTAGTAAATGACCTTGTAAGTGATTGGATAGGAGTATTAGCCATTGGATAAATAGCTGCCATTGGTTTAGATACTCCTGGAGTAAATTTGTCATTATCATTATCTCTTAGATAAACAGTAACACAAACTCCATTTCTTTTTTTCTCTTTACCAAGACAAATTTCAGTTGGATAAACGAATAATAAATTTTCATAATCCATAAAAATATCCTCTTTCTCTTGAATAGATAAATCAGTCATAGTACAAAATTGAGACCCATTTGTCCCATCTTGAGTATTAGTTACCATAAATCCATCATAATGAACATCTTCTTTTTTTGATGGTTTAAATAGAAATTCCCAATACCCACAAGTTTTCATTCTATCAACATCTTTAATCATTGAAACAACATCTTTAGGATCTCCTACTGGTTTAACTAATTTAAATGGATCATATTTTGGTTTAAATTTAATTAACGCAGCACTAAACATTAATAATTGTAACATTCCTTTTTGTTCAAAGATACGAGTTGATTCTTTAATTCCATCAATATATTTTTTTTTAGTTTTTAATTCTTTTTGACCTTCGTCACTAAAAATTTCTCGTGCAAAATCAATGTTTGGATCCATTTGTTTATAAACTTGTAACACAACATAATTTTCTTCTTCTCCAATAAATTCTTCTTTTAAAGGAATTGATACTAGTGGGACATTAAGTGGTTTACTTTCTTTTATATGATCTTTTAAAACATCTGATGTTAATGTAAAATAGAAGTCTGATGTTAGTTTAATATAATTTTTATCATATAAACTCATTCTACAATATAAATTATCGGTAGTCATATTTATTTGAAATTTAGTAATATTAACAATAGTAGGTTTTCTTACTTTTAATAATTCTTGAATTGGACGAGGTTGAGTATTACATAATGTTGTTGAATACAATAATTCATCTGAAGTAATTTTAGCATTAAAATTTTGGAATAAAAATTTATTCTTTTTCTTTCTTGAACCAGGTTTACGTGTTTCTGTTTGAATGAGTGAGTCAACATTAAACTCTTCATTATTAGAAGATAATGATACTTTTGTTGGTTCTTTACCTTCAAATACACTAACATATTTTTTTGGTGTTTGAAAAATTGATATTGACTGATTAAATATTTGGTTGTAAATAATTTGATGGTATTTATCATTTGGACATTGTTGTTGTGGAGAAATAAGTGCGTGTGGTTTATCAAATGAAGAAATGGTAAAAATATTTCGATCAAGATACTTGTATTGAATATCCACGCCAGTTTTATCAGCAAATTGATTTTCAAATGAATTAAAAATATTTCCTGTTTTTTCTTTCTATAAGTAATAAATACTTTTATTTTCTTTTATTATTACGTATTTAATAATTGAAACAAACCATTATTTCATTTAAATTAGATGTAATGTATTTATGAAATGCAATAAATTCACTTCGTTGAACTTTATAAGCTTTTTGTAAAAATGTTTGACCACAATGATATTTAATTGTTTCTTCAGTTAAACAAATATTAAATTCTTTTTCAATATACTTCTTTAATTGATATACATCTAATTCTCCATTATGTTCTGTATCATAATTCTAATAAATAAATCTATCCTTTTTTATTTATTATAAAATTATTATTTACATCAACTCCTTTAAACAAACGTCAAATTTTTGTAAAATTTTTTGGTTTTGCTCATTCATTTTCTTCGGTTTTTTTGTTTCATTTTCTTCTTTTTTCTTAACTTCTTTTGTGTTGATGTCAATCCCAAAGATTTCTTCTAAGTCTGAAGGCAACAACTTCTGCGTCATACAATCTAACTTCTCCTTAAAATTTTTGAGATGCTTTTAGATTCTTATTAATATCTTATCTTTTATTTTCTATTTTTTTTCCCTTTCATTTCATTTTTTTACGTTTTTCTCGAATTATTTTTTTTTGTAATCAAATCTACAAATTTTTTTCAAGATTGTTCCTATATTTCAATAACTTGTTTCAAATAGCAAAAATTTAAAATATAAAACAAAAAGATAAACAACCAGATGGAATTTAAAGTGAGAAACATCATAAATAATGAATATCCTATTCATATTAAAATTAGTAAAATATACAATCTCCTCTATTATTCAAAACTAAAACAGTCATCAAATGAAGAGTCAGAAGAAATACTTGTTGAATAACAAATCATATTTGTTGGTGAAATGTTAGTATGTAACTGACAAAAGAGTGGATCATTTAAAATTGGATTTGAATTTCTAGGAGGAGGAACAAAATTTCTTTCAATAGGTGAAAGTATAATAGAAGAACAAGAACTAGAACATGATGAATCATCTAATTGTAAAGGATGAGAAGCACAAGGGATAAATATTTGATTCGTTTCTTTTTTATCAAAAATAAAACAGTGATGTAAGTCTTGGTACAGCTGCATAAATAAGAATCAAGATGAACTAAGATTCATTTCTTTATTATGAATTTTCTTTGACTTTTTACTAAAATCAGGAACTAAACAAAGTTTCCTTCAATAGTGTATTTCAATTATTGTTTCAAATATGCTAGTTTTCTGCAAATTATTTTGTTTTGTTTTGGAGTTGGACATACCAAACTTTTTTTTTTAAATTTCTTTTATATCATTTACCAACAACTTATTATAACTCTAATTAACTTCTGAAAGTATTTGGTTATGAACTGTTCTCCATTCTTGGAGATCTTTGCTACAATCATAATTTTTTGTTCCCCATTTTGGAATCTCGGAGATAAATGTTTTCGTTGTGCCATGATATTCAACTGAAAGCTCAACACAAGACAACCATAAATTTTCTTGAGGTATTTCAATTCCTGAAGTACATTCTTTACATTCAGGTTGTTTCCAGTTTTCTGGAATAGAAAAATGAGTACAATATTCGTTTTTATTTCTATACATTGAGTCATTCGCTATTGGATGATTTTCATAACTTAAATGAACTCTTATTTGATGCATCCTTCCTGTTTTTGGAATAGCCCAAAGAAGAGTTGTATCAGTTTTTTCATCGTATTGAATTTGTTCAAAAATAGTAGTTGACGCTTTTCCTTCTGAACCAACAGTAACTCGTTGTTTAGTAATACACGGTGTTTCAATAATAGGTTTATTAACAATACAGCTATCCATATAACCAATTACCCTACAAATATATTTTTTATGTGCATTTATAAAATGACGTTGTATTTCATTTGCTATTTCAGAACTTTTAGCTATTAGTAATACTCCACTTGTCAAACGGTCTAATCGATGAACTCCAAACAATTTTATGTTTCGTTCTTTTTCTAATATTCTTATAACTGTATTTTCTGTATATCTTCCTCCTGAATGTGTAGGTATTCCACTTGGTTTATTGACAACAATAACATCATTATCTTCAAAAATAATTGGTAACAAATATGGAACAGGTAATTCATGTCGATGTATTTGATTTAATAAAATATCTCCTTCCATAACAATACAATTCCCATTTATTTCATTACTATTTCTTTTAATTTTTAATAATCCTTTTTCAAATGCTTTTGTAATGTCTTCATCTGAATAATGAAATTCTTTTTTCATTATTTCTTTAACATCTTTTCCAATCCACCTCTCTTTAACTATAACTTCAAACCAATAAAGATATGGAACAACCCATCTCATTCCATCAATAATCTCAATCTTTTGTTCAACAAGTTCTTTACATTGATTTATTCTATTCTTTTTTATTTCTTTTCTACCTTTAATTTTCTTTTTAAAAGCTTCTCTTCTTTCTTTTCTACTAAGGCAATTATTAGGCTTAGATTCTATTTTCTTTTTCTCTTCCATCAATAAATTGAATTATTTTCATTAATTTTTTATTTCATTTTTATGAAAAAACAAAAAAAAAAGCCCTTTTTTATTTTTAGAATACATCTTTAAATAACTAAAACCTACTTAAACATGAAGGTTAAACAAATTTCATTAGAAGAAACAACTGAAGCAATCTCTAATTTCATTGAAGAATTAAGAACTAGACCCACAACCAATATCTCTATTCTTTCAAAATATGATATTTTATTAAATGGTCTTCGTGCATCTCCAGAAAATGAAAAAACACCATTTATTGATTGTGAATTACCATTTTCAATTTCATTATATCCACATCATTTAAAAAATATTAAAGGGTCAATTCAAGAAATTATTGATAGTTATCTTTTAACATCTTATGTTAATGGTACTTTCCAAGGAATAATTATGTCATATAAAAACTTCAAAGTTCCTGAAAAAACTAAAACTTCTTTTGATTCTGGTATTCTTACTATTCGTTTAAAATTAAATTGTATTGTCTTTAGACCAGTAATCAATACGTACTTGAGTTTGTTTTATATATATTTTTTATATATTGTGTTTGATATTTAATTTATTTGTTTAGTTGCTACTGTATGTCAAAAAAGTTTCGACCATATAGCATTATTGGTATATGGAATTTTTAATGTAAAAGTAAGTACTGATCTTGTTCGTGAACGACTATCACCTAAATTACAAATTGATGTATTAACACGTTTTAAAATTCGTGGAATGAACTTTAATCATAACCCACCTATTATTGAAGGTGAAATGAATGATTCTCATTGCAAAATTTTAAAAGTAGAATAAGAGCCAGTTTTTCAATTCTAATTTGATTGTTAAGACTATTATTTGATTTTTTATTAAAATTTTGTTAGTTCTTTTATAAAAAAATAATATATTAATAACAAACCATGAAATTTAGTGTTATTAATTATTGTTAGTCATAAACAAAAGTGGTTTTTTTTATTTATTTGATGAGTAGATAGACTAACTTTAATTCTCCATTAATAATATATTAATTTATTTTTTTGTGTTATTTATTGTTTCTTTTTTTTTTAATGATTGAGAAAGAGTCTCTAAATTTTGTTGATAATGATTGCTAAAGTTCATCACAACTCCTTTTTTATTTAATTTTATATTTTTTATTACTTCTTTTAGTTTATTATTCAAATGATATGATATTCTATACATCTACGCTATAACAAAGGAACAAAATAGAATATTAAATATTCGTCTAAAAGAGAATCTATTTATAGAACATAAATAGTGAAGCAAATTTCTAAATGTTTAAATGAAATAATTTAATAGTTTTAATTCACTTAGTTCTCAAATGAACCAAATTCCACAAGTATGTATTTATTTACAACATCCAATTTGTCAAATTATTCATTCAATTGCAACTCAATTTCATATTCATAAAGAATTACAAAAATATGAACATTTTTCTCATAGGATTTTCCTTTCAGTATTGTTTGCTTATTGTAACACTTTCTTTAGTGGAATTATTTTTGATTATCAAGTTAATACTAGCTTGTATATTATGGTTGTTCATACATCAGTAGCTGTTATTCTCGAATCAAACTTTGTTTTTACATTATTACAGAAATATATTTTAATAGATGACTTTTGTTTGGCTGTTAAGGCTATGAGGGCTGGGTGTTTCACTTTTTTAAGTTTCTCAGATAAATATTTCTCTGGAAGTCATTTTCTTATTTGTTCAATTTATGCATTATTTAAAAGTTATGGCTCAGATGTGTATGGTCCAATTATAAGTTATTGTCTTGGTATTCCTGTTAAACCATTTAGGCTATTTGTCCCCATGGATTTTATTAATGAATTTCCATTCCTTATAGTTCTTTATTTTGCTCTTCCATCTATGAATAATGTTGATAAAACATTATTTATTATTACTTTTGATATAACCACTGTCATAAATATTATCTTATTAAATCATACTCAAAAATCAATGCAAGACTATGTATTAGACTACTTAGTTAAACGATCAAAAAAGTAAAAAAGTTAAGGTATTAAAAATAAACCTGTCTAACAAAAATAAGGGTGTGTCTATATCACTCTATAGATTTATTTTTGTCTTTCAAAATTAAACAAAATTCTTTTTTATTAAAGTTTAATTAAAATAGATTATTCTAACACAACAAATTTGTTCTGTTTTTCAACGTAAGTAATTAAAGTATTAATAATTTTTTTTACCGAATTTTAGTGAATATAAATATTTTATAAAACAACCACTTTTTGTCATTTATATTGAAAATTGCATGAATAGTTAAATAATTACTAAATAAACTTCTTTTTAAAATGCTTGAAAAACATTAAGTATCAATAATATTATATATTCAATAGAGGAATTACTTCAAAAAAAACTTCAAGACTATTAATCTAATACCATGAATAATTCACAAAAATTTTTTAGTTATTACAATAAGAGAGAAGGGAGTATTTATCTCATTATTAAGCTCAAGTTAAAAATATATATTCAAAAATAAGTTGTAAACAATAATACTCATAAACAAATCTTTAGAAACAAATAAGAAACAGAAAAAGTATTATAACTATATTAATAACAAATAATATTTAAAAAGATATAAAAGTAATATATTTTTTGATTATAATTAATGATATGATATAATGAATAATTAATATTGTTTTTTGATTAAAAAAATATTATTATTATCATTTCCCTCAGAGATCAAGTGTTTCATTCATTGAAATATAATAGCTTTTGTGATGAATGCGAATGATCCACATTTTTTTTGCTATTTTATTATTCATCAGAAACTCTTCACTACATCATTGGGTTAAACACAAAAAATATGAATTATATTTTTAACTCTCTTGCTTTATAAAGAATTTCATCTAAACAATCGATCATATTAACAACTTCTTTATATTTTTCTTTATATAGTTCTTGTTCATCAGTACTTTTTTCTTTTAATTTACTTTGGACTAAAACAAAACTAATGTATCCATTCCATATACTCCCTCTAAGTGAAATTATTTTCTCTTTAAGTGTTTTCATATCAATAATTATTCGTTGGTTAGTTGTTCCTCCATATTTACACCAAACTTCATAAGGAGTTTGACAAAGTTCAATAGTAACTCCCCAACTACAATTAATAGGCTCTCCATGATATTCTTGTTTTTTATTATAATATTGAGGAAGAATTTGTTCCATAGTATAATACCATTGTTTTTTAAGTTCATTACATTGAATTTTCCAATTATCAATTCGTTTAAGAATAATTTGATATTCAGATTCATTTGTTTTTTCTACAAATACATTATGTTGTTCAATATCTTTTTCAGTTTGACAAAACGTTGGTGTGTTAAGTTCTATTCTAATAGAAGGGTATGACTCTCCATATTTTTTATCTAACTGTTTTAATAATTCAATGGCTCTTTCTTTTACTGAAGAAATACTAAAAGCTTTACTAAATATTTTATGAATTCTAGGATACATTAATTGTTTCATTGTTTTACTTTTATCAAAAAGAAATACAAATAACTCAAAATAAGATATACACTTTGCTTTATCTAATTCGTTCATCATATACTCAAACGTAGTATGAACATATCTCGTATCAGACTTACAATACTCTAAAACTAGATGAAAATCTTTAGATGTAAAGTCCAATGAATTACAAATAATTAATTTAGAAATTGATTTTTTTAATGTGTTATTTGCTGTTAATTGATTGATAGGAATATTAATATGAACATTACTCATATTAATAAGATTTAACTATCTTTTTTAGTATTTTTTAATAATAAAAACAAATTATACTTTTTATATTTATTTTGTCTTTCTTCATTCAAATTTATGTTATAATTAACAATAAAAAAAATATAAATATTTCGATTATAACCTAATCATTTAACACACATATTACTTAGTGTTGTTCGTGATGTCCAAGATGAGCGTGGGCAGCTTTAATAGCTTCAAGAGCTCGTTGGATTTCATCTCTCTTGGCAAGTCCTCTTTTGTGTGTTCCAAGATGTTTTTTAGCATATTTAAGTGCTTTCTTATCAAGTCCTCTTCTAAGAAGATCCATCATGTGTCTTTCATATGCTGAAAATCCACATGCTTCTCTAATAACGTCATTAACAACATGCTTTCTTTTTGTGACACCATAATGTCTTTTAGCGGTTTTCATAGTATGAACTGGGTATCCTCTTTTAAGTCCAACGGCAATTCCTCTAGCCATTTTAACCGATTGTCGTGTTAAGATCAATTTTTAAGTTTCTAATAGGGTTCTTCTTTTTTACTATTTCTTTTAACTTTTTTACTATTTTTTATCCTTGTTTATTTTTGTTTTTTCATTCCTTCAATTTTTTGATATTCTTTGTTTTTTTGGATATATAACGAAAATAAAAACAAAAACAAAATGAACTTGAAAATTTAAAAACAACAATAATGAAAGATAATGACAGGTGTGCTAAATTCATGGCAAATGATCTTGGAAAAGTACTTAGTTATGATGAAATGATTTGTAATAGAATTCAAGAGAATGACAAGAAATTAAAAGACCTTGTTTATTCTAATTATTCTAAATTTATTCAAGTCACTGAAACAATCACGAAAATTAGACATAGTGCTGAGTCTTTTGATAATGACTTAACTTCTATATCAAAGTCTTTATCTGAACTAACTTCTCGTTATAAAAATATTCATGCAAACTTGTCTCCACTTAGAGAAGAACTTATTAGTTTACATGAAAAACAACAACAAATTGAACAACAACAAGAATTTTTAGACCTTCCTGATATTTTACGTCAAACTGCATCAGAATCTAAATGGATTGAATTTGCTAATGCTTATACATCTAAAATCGATGGACTAAAAAAGAATGCTCATATCAAAGCATTCGCATCAATTTTAGCAGAAGTTGAAGGTGCTGTAGCAAGAGCAGAAAAAGCATTAAACAATGCTATTTCCAAAGAATATGACACCCCTCAAAAACTTGGACAATGTTATGGAGCATTAGCTCGACTTCATACCAATGAAGCAGCAGTTATGGAAATTAATTGTATTGCTAAAATGCAAAAATATTGTGAAGTAGTTGTTGATAATTCTTTTACAAAAAAAGAAAGTAATGTTGCTAGCTTCTCATCTTTTATTTCAACTGCAGCAACTGCTTTTGTTAATGCAGTTCAGTCATGTTGTGAAGCATATACTACGGCATTTAAAGAACCATTTAGTCTTGATAGTAAATCGTTTGATAATTTTGTTGGAATTTCTATCAGTAATTTCTATTCAAAAGCTAATAACATTGTTTCACAAGCATCATCATTAGACAAACCAGAATTAAAAGTTGTTGAGGCATTAAGAGGAATAAGTGATGCTACTGGTAAAATTAAAAATTTAAATCAATATGGAGATTATAATAAGTATATTGAAAATACTATTGAAAATGCTGCTCGATTTGGAATTAAAGAACTTTGTAAAAAGGTTGGATTAAAAGCAGGAAGTGTATTTGATACAATTAGTGTTGATATTGATCTTTGTGTTTCGAGAGGATTTGTTGGATTTAATGGATTGGCAGAGAAAAAACAAAATCAAATTGATGATATTCAAAAAGAATTAAAGGATAGAATTGATGCAATTAAACAAATTGGTGGTGTTTATGAAACAACGATTATAAACTCATTGAAAGAATATGGAAGTGATATTCTTACTATATTCCTTCAAAAAGCAGAGTCTGTTTGTGAAAATAAACCATTTGTATGTGTTGCTGTTGCAGGATGGATACTCTCTGCAAAAATACCAGAAACTATTGCAACTGCATTAAGAATTGATTCATTAGCACAGCAATATACTGACCAGTATAACCAATTTCCAGAAAAATTAATTAAAAAATTCACTGACCTTATTTCTGAACAAATGCATTCATCATTTATTGAATTATTTGCAATGAATCATCCTCCATTATCACCTTCATTATTAGTTCGTTCAGGGTCATTGAAAGTATCATCTTTAATGATAGGTGCATCTAATATATTAAAGGTGTATTTTCCTGATAATACTAATCCATTTGATGATAACACTCCTAAAAGAGACTCTAGTAAGACATTTTATTTTGATAGTGATGAATCTAAAGATGATCTTATTGAATTGGAAAGAACTTCAATCATTGAAGCGATTGTTGTCAAAACAATGAAACAACTAAGAAATGATATTCCATTGTATACTGCCCCACCTCCAGATGGATTGACTCTCAAAGAATTCCAACAATATCATGTTGATTTGATGGTTTTCTCTAACACAATTAATGAAATAGTTAAAATAAAAAGTTCAAAAATTGAAAATTATATAAAACAAATCAATTTACGTCTTGAAAGTTGTTGTTCTGAAGGTGCTATTACAGCAACAAATGAAGTTTCATTAATTAAAGAAGCAATGTTAAAAATAAATAATTGATTTCTTCATAATAAAAAATAAATGTATTATTTAA